TGCTTAGAAACTTGTGAGTGAGACTCATTGGTTAATGCTTATGGGTGAAAAGGGGAATCACAGTTCCAAAAACTCTGGACCGATGGCGATCGAGGAAGAGCTAGAGAAGAGATCAACAAGATGCATATTATAAAGTTAGTAAATGGAGGTACTTGAATCACAGTTCATCAAGGGACCTTTTGCCGGACAGTGAAGGTCTTTACAACAATCTATAAGCCAGATGATTTGTTTTCATGAATGGTTCCAGTTAAATTCTTCTCGTGCATTGAAATTGTGGTGCAAGCAGTTGAAAAAAGTGACAAGTGTATTTGGCAATTAATAACTTAGGCTATGTTTGGTTAGATCAGCTCCAGGTTGGGATGTTGAAAGTACAAGAGCTCTTGAAACTGAACAAACATTGGAGTTAGAACGAGTGTTTTCAACAAAGCCAATTAAGTAAGCTTTTATACTGAGCAGTGAGTCTGGTGGTGGTGGACGTTGGGAGCATTTAATGTTTTTTAAATTTTTTATCAGCCTCCCCCTCTCATCTCCTTTGCCCTAATTCATGGGTCTTGAAAGCTCTTCACCTCCCCGGATCCACATTGCGTTCTCATCAGTGCTCATACCCAAATATTTTATAACATATCTCTACTTCTGATTTTAAATTTATTTTAAATATTTTAAATATTATATTTGTGAAAATAAAATAATAAAAAATTAATATTAAATCTAAACTGTTTAAAGTATATCTAGACAGCCAATTTATAAAATTATAAAACAATTAATATTAAATTGTTTGTTCAGATTATATTTGTACCATTTAGGGTATATTTATATAATCAATTTATGATAAAAAATTATATTAAATTGTATCATTTAAATTAAATATATGCTAACAAGATTGATGATAATAAATTTATTGAAAATTTGATCTTTTTTATACATTTTTATCTTGATAAATATAAAATAAAAATAAAAACTAAAATCTAAATTGTTCAAATCCTTTCAAAGATAATGTGTATCATAATGCTCATCATTTAATGAGCACCGTAAGTAATTCAAATTTAATATTGATTTTCTAAAATTTTTATTTCCATAAATATAATATTTAAAATATTTAAAAATTAATTTAAAATCAACAGCAGATATTATTTTTGAGATGAAATGGAGTGTAAGGATCATCTATTCGAGTAATGAACGCGAAATGCAGATCCCTCACCTCCTTGCTCTGCCAGATCTGACAAAAGATTGTGCTTGCTATTGTTATAGCCATCCGATCTTCTGTTAGCTCTGCGTTGCTCCCCGTTGTCCCTAAGGGCCCATGACTTATTCGTTACTATCTCTAACCATCACATTAGTTGCAAAGGACTTGAACGCCAAAAGGAACCAGATCAACGGATACTCCGAGGCCCCAGCTCAGTGGTCGGTTGCAAAAAATGAATTCGAGATATACAGTAGCATTCCAAGAAGAAAACTTTAGAGCCCTTTATTTTGTTCGTATTATCTTGGCAGCACAATTTGAAAGTAGCTTTGTTCTGATTGAGATCATTTAAAGCGATTAGTGATGGAAACTGATATTCATTTTTTAACTTTGTGATTTATGGATAGTTCGTGTAATAACGATGATCCTGATCCTGATTATGTATATTTTAACTGATGTTGGCGGTGATATTCTTTCTATATATATGCAAGTTTCAACGTTGGAATCTTTTTTCAAATTTTTTATAAAATATATTAAAAAATGTATGGCTTTTTAGTGTTTTAAATTGTAATTAATATATTTTTTTTTTCAAAACATCCTTAATAAATAAATCATTTTATATTATTTTTTAAGTAAACACCCTGTTAATAAATGATGATAGATATGAAAAGAGGTTGGTTGGAACTTTGAAGACAATTAAACAATTTAATAGATTGAAATTCGATTAAAAATACTTTTTTTTTAATGGAGGTAGCAAATGATAAAAATTAATGATATGGATTAATCAATCAATTATTATTTTTTTTATGATGCATCGATCATGACAGTCATCCTCGTCATCCCCTCTTTGGGGCCTTCGTCAATGCTTTCAACCAATTCATCTTTGCAACCTAATACGGCACAAGGTAAAGGTATAAAATTTATCCATGAATTATTTTTTGAGGAGCTTCTGACAGTCCACATCATGGAGTAATGCAAAATAAATCATAAAATATAAAAAATGAAGCACCTAACACCTTTCTATCTATGTGAGTAACATCCGCTTATTTTTAATGGCAGGACATACATTCATTATATCACCCTCTTTATCTCCCATTGTCTCTACACCCCCTCTCTCATTTATGCAAGTTCATTGTTGGAACTTCCTCTTCTACACTAACTTTGACCACATCAAGTTGATCCTTATTGGTCTTGCAAACATACTTTGTGGCCCAAACATGTTCTTCATTGATGTTGAACTTGGCCTTACCTTTGCCTTCCAGCACTATATCTATCGAATTCATGCCATTCGTGGCGCACTACCAATTGAGCATATAGAGGTTGCTCTGTCATTTGAACTTCTTGTATATACACTTCTTCAATCACATCTCCATATCTTTTGCACCAATAAATAAAGCATTCATGCACCCCTCATACTTACCAAAATGACATCATATTGTCTTCAAGTACTAGAAACAAAGAACAAACCTTGAGAAGTAGTCTCAAGCATCTACCTTAGAAATAAGCTAGCCTTTTGAGAAGGTAAAAAAATTGTCTCTGAAGGCATGTTTTTCATCACACTTATACTTAGCTCCAACTTTTTTAACATATTTTGAGAACTAGTATCACCACACTAGGAAATAGCTTTATGATCTATAGAATTGTAATAAACATGTTGCCTATTAGATTCATTGACTCGTATTTTCTCATAGCCTTCTCACCTTCCAGGCTTCTACTCATTGCATGATGTCCATGACGGCTTTAATGTATGCATCATTGATTATTTTGGTGATAGGATGGATTATGCAAGTATGGTTTTTGAGCAAGCAGTGGATGGAGACACTTCTTTGAGTGACGCCTTAGGTTAAATGCAAGTTGTTAACTTTATTGGCACCTCGAGGGAGTTGGTTGCTCTCGATGCAAATTAGGTCAAAAATGGCCTCGTTTACTAGGTCATTAAGTAAAGCATCGGAAGCATGGAGGAGCAAAGTTTGTGTGATCATTCTCACCGAGATAATAAAGGAATGTTCACCCGAGATTCTCGTTGTTGAGGTAACGGAGGAACTTGAGGTGGTAGAGTTAGAGGCATCGTTTGATGAAAGAGTAGTAGCTAGCAACTTTGATGGCCAACTAATGAGGATCATACGCTCAATGTGGTCAAAGGTAGGGTATAGAAAAGGAAGTTCCATCAATGGACTTACATGAATGAGAGAGGGGGGTGAGAGACAAAAGGACATGAGTGATGTAATGAATGCAAGCCTCACCATTAAAAATAAACGAACGCTACTCACATGGATAAAAAAGGTGCTGGGTGCTCTATTTTTTAAAGTTCGTGGTTTATTTTGTACAACCTCATGGTATAATCTACTAGACGCTCCTAAAAAAGAAATTCATAACTAAATTTACACTTTTACCTTAAGGGATATTTCACAAAATTGTAGCTCATGTTATACAAATTTTAATTTGGATTGCCTTATATTGATATTGATTAATAAGATTGTGTTGTTATGCATGCTTAGTGCCATGTAAGCCCTTTTATAAGTGGAAGGTCACATGTTTGATCTTGCCTGTAACCTTAAAGTCTCACTTGGTTACTATATATAAAGAATGTGAAAAGAATGGATTGAAAAAATAAAAAATAATTATTTTTTCCCTCGTAATAAGCATAATAAAACGTAATAATATATATTATAAATATAGGAATCATCGCATTTTTCTAAAATATCATGAAACATGACTCTGATCCCATGAATTAAATTATTTTTTCCCTACGAATATTGTTTACCTATCCTTCTTCATGTTTGAGTCATTTTATTTTTACTTCTATTAATTTAATACATTATATTCTAGTAAGCAAGCGGACCTAAGTTGTTATTGGATTAATTGAAAGTTCATGCAAAAAGCTTACAATGATTATTATAGTACACTAGCCATTAACTATTGCATCTACTCCCTCTGATCTTTATTATAAAATACTTTTAACCGTTTCATGTATCTTAAGAAAAATTAGTTTGTTTCTTGATATTATAAAAAAGTGAAATGTATTTTTATTTTTACTCTTGACTTTAAATAACAATGCAAATTAAATACCTTCATGCTAATTAAAAAAGGGATAAAATTAAAAAAATTATTTAATTATTATAAGATCTCCTATATTTTGGATCAAAAATTATTTCTAAAAAATTTTGTATAAATAAGATCGAAGGGATTATGTTTTATAAAATGATTCTTATTTTATTCAAGGAAGTTTTAGTCCTTTAAGTTTGTCTTAGTTATTAATTTGATTGCTCAAATTTATTTTTTATTAATTTAGTTTTTTAAGTTTACCTTGATTATGAATTTGATCCTTATTGTTTAAAAAAATATAACAAGCTATTAAAGTTTACTAATGTAGATAATAGAATATTGATGATAGCCATGTAAATTAATAAAAAATAATAGTTATTTGATTACAAAGGAACAAACTCTAAATTTAAAAAACAAGAGACACGGTGCAAGGAATTATATTGATAAAAATTAAATTTATTTTAAAGTTAATTTGTTTTCATTTAGCTACATATACACATGCTAAGTCATTAATATTTTGTATACATTATATTATTTTGAGAGTCAATTTATATTTTAAAACTTAAATGAGTCATATGATAATATAAAAAAATATATAAAGAATCAAATCAATAAAAATTAAATTTAAAAAATTAGACTAATAATTAAAACAAACTTAAAAGATTGAAAGTTTTATTATTTTTTTTATTTATTTGTTTTTGATAAAGTAACGTAAATTTAAATGTCGCTGGGATAATAAAACATTTAAACTCATAAAAAGATAGCTTTACACAGAACCAACACTGCAGATGCAAATCAAATTTAAGATTCCAAACTTACACAACTATCTATGCCAAGAAGCAAAAGTGGTCAACACTGGGAAATGCAACATAAATTAAAGTCTAGCAATTCATAACAAACCCAGCAAACGAAATTATTACAGAAAGCACGGAAACTAATGAACTAGTCCATCTACAACCTAATCGCGTGCTGATTCTTCTGAGCCTAACACGGATCTCTCCCAATTGTCCTTCCTGTTATTCCTGAAAGCACAGCACGCAATGGCGTACACGATAACCAGGAAAAAGAGGAATATTATGTCAATGATAGCCGACTTTCTCCAGTTAATGTTGAAGTTTTGCAGCAACCCAGCCTTGCAGGAATTACAGTTGAAGCACAGCACCTTTGGATCATTGCCCCAAGCACCACAATCTGGGTTCCTATAATTTCCACCTTCGGTCTTGTTCCACACCGTTGCGCTCTGGTTCACAAATTTGCAGTCGCTTGGTGGCCTGCAACACCCAGACTGCACCAGAACCAAACATGTGTCAAACAAACATAGCAACTGCAAAATACTCAATTTTTTGCCACACCTGGTCAAAAACCCGATCAAATAAAACCATAGTCTTTTGCTTTTCAGACTAATTTAAAAAGACCATCTTCTTCTAACCATGACTGGAAACACATGCATGCAATACCTAACCAGTGAAGTTGTTGATATTGAACGAAGAAATCCCACGATACCTGAAGCGGTGATAATTTCTCTGCGTATAGCTTCTGGAAATCGTCGTTGATGTACTTACTAAGGTAGTTGGAGCAGAGTTCCCCGGACTGAAGACAACTCTTGATTCCGTTCCAGTTACGTGAGCTGTTCACTCTCTTCTGCAACCAGTGAGAATAATCACCGAGCCGGTACTCCTTGTACCCTTTGCCGGAAGAATCTACGCCGGCGGTCCCTTTGTTGGTAATGGCAAAGGTGAAGACCGTGAAGCTGAAGACGCAAACGACGAGAACGAACATGGCGACGAGGTAAAACCAGAGGAGACAGGAGCTCCGGCGGCAAGAGCCGACGAGGCCTGCCAGCGACACCACGAGAAGGAGCGCGCCAAACAGAATGAAGGGCATATCGAGCCATTTTTCACACTCGGTGGCGCCTTTGCTGAGCCATATACCCATCGAGAGAATGGGAATGGAGAAGAGAAACGTCAAGAGATTGAGGCACACGAGCAGAGCGTTGCTAAAGCGAAACATTTTTTGAGAAGTTTTACAGAGAGGAATAATGAACGAGAGAAGATGCCGAAATAGACACAGAGGTGAGGAAGTAATATAGCGACTTCGTGAAGTTAGAAAACGCGGTGAAAGGAAATCGACCAGATTCTCACGCGGTTCAGTGGATTTGGTAAGGGAGGACATGGGGCATCAAATCGAGGAGGAAATTTTGGAGGATAAATTGAAGATCGATGAGCTTCGTTACGAGGCCATAAAAGATACATATGTATCAATTTCTCCATAAACTAAGGGAGTGACTCATACGAACAATCCGTGTAATAATAAGGAGTGATCATGATTACGTGTATTTATATTGATTAATATAGAAGTGGTGATATTCGTTAATTTCTGTAGCGGACGAGACAGTCTAAAAGACAACAAAGGAATTGGGATATGGGATTTCAGCAGGTAGAGTTGGAGGCGGACAACTTGACTACGGTACAAAACCACGAATGCTGAATAGAGAAGTGAGACCGTTGGCATTTAATAATTATCAAAATCCCTTCCCCCCCCCCCCCCCCCCAAAGAAAAAAACAACTGAATTCATTGAAATTAGCAAATTGCTAATGCCAATTAACTTGCTCATCAGATTGATCGTAATATAGTCATGACACTAGGATCTTTAATGACCCACTTGGAGAAGATAGGAATTATTTGTAATTCGACTATGGCCTTATCAATATTAGTGTTAATAAATTATGAAAATAATTAATTAAATAATAAATTTAAATCATAATTAATTATGTTATAATGTAATTTATTTGGATACTATTTTTTAAAAATTTATTTTAATAGAATTCAAGATTTTTGAATAATTTATTCAAAATTAATTTTAGTTGTATGGATTACCATAAAGGATATTATTTTTTAAAATTAAATTATTAATAAATTTTTATCAAATATTTAAAAAGTAAAATATATTATTTAAATTACATATCTAATTAATTATAACAACCCTCAATTTTAAATTAAATTAAATTAATTTTTTATCAGTTAATATTTTATTTAAATTAGTTTTATAGCTAGGTGCTAAGTAAAGGTTGGTAGATGGTGGGAACTTATAGTAGTAATTTTTTTAAAAATTCAAAATTCAAATTTTACTAAAAAAAAGGTAAGAGAGTTTGATTTTATTTTATTAAATTTTATGTCTTTTTTATAATTTTTTCTTGAGCTTTTCTTTGTAATTTTCTCCATATATCTTTGTAATTTGAATGCAAAAGCTGCCTCTATAGCTTTGTGAAAAAATAAAAAAATTTGATTTTTTTTGAAAAAATTACTGTTTGGATACTTAACTGCAAAATCGATTTTTTCCCCTCAAAAAATCGATTAATGAGTTATCCAAAAATGATAAAAAAAAAGTAAAAAAAATGACAATTAAAGACCCTCTAAGACTATTAATTGTAATTAAGACCCTGAATTATAAAAATTCTAATAACAAACCACGGTTTGTTACTTAAAATTAAAAATGTATGAGTTTAAAATCTATAGAAAACACTACTAAAATTACTCTTATGAGTTAGGATTATTGTTAATTTTAATTCAAAAAATCAAGAATCACATTCGAGATTTGAGAATGGATTGTTTCATAATATGAAACTAAAATTTACCTGTGAAGCTTTCTAAAGACACTTGTGAATACATGATAGTTACTTGAAAATTTATTAAAGTTATTTTTGAATATAAAAAATCAAGAAAAATAATGCTGAAATTACTATCATGAGATGAGATTATTGTTATCTCAAATGAAAAAAAAAATTAGGATCCAAGTATTATTGGTCGGGACAACTAAAATTATTATTATGAATTGGGAGTACTATTGTTAATTCTATTTCCAAATATGGATCATAGTTTTTTCAATTAAAATTAATAATAGTCCCAACTCATAATAATAATTTTAATAGTATCTTTTTTTTATTTTAAACTCATGTTTTTAATTTCAAGTAAGGACTACAATTCATTATTAATATTTCAATAATTTAAAATTTTTATTTGTAATTAACAATCTTATGAGATTTTTAATTGTTACTTTCCCAAAAAAATATTACGGGTTGGCAATGGGCGTTGCATCCTTGGGCGTTGATTTGGAAATCACCTTATCGTTGTTGATCTCCCCGTGGGCTTGGCTATCACCTTTGCAATACGCTCCGTCATCTATTCGGAATAGTTCAAATTTTAATGTTTTATTTTTATGTTTTTATTTTATATTTATTATAAAAAAATTATAAAATTCTAATACATCCATTTTATCGCGAAGTTAGATAATAAATATTTAATTTAAATTATTTAGGTTCCATCAGCACTCTTTGTAGATTTCTGTTGTCAAGCTTGTCCAATAAAAACATGATATACATATTATTTACTGTTCAACATTATATGATATTGATTCTTTCCAAAAACTAAAACATTAGACTGTTATGAACCAATATACATATGGTTGTAATGCAATATTATCAAACTAATGGTCTTTTTATTTCTTTCTCTTTTTCTCAATCCAAACATATCCACCACAACTCTGCTCCTCCTAGCACTTCCATTCTCTTCATAAATCTGCATTAGAGGGCTATATAATGATGAATGACAGTAAATTTACATGCATAATTTTTTGATTCAAAAGTGAACATTGAAAACTAAAATTTAATTTCTGAAGTCACAGACATAGGACAGTCTCTTGTGCTAGTTAATTGTTTGACGTCTGTCTCTTTGCAGCCTCTGCTGGGATCTTTACAAACTGAAAGTGGAAACACCATTCCACAGCAGCTGCAAAAAACCACTTCAACCACACCCCAGTTCTCATCCAAGATGGCTCAATCAGATACATTTCACCCCTACAAATGCTCTTTAGTATGGCCTTAGCACACCTTTCTGCAGTTTCAACTGGTATAATCTTCGCATGGATCTATCAAACACATCGGTTAGGAATTTGAGTTATTCATGATGGTTACTTACCATTGAATCTTAAAAGCACAAAAGTGATCACGGTACTTGTTGGCAGTGACACACTCCATCATCATGACAGGATAACTCTGTAAATATATGAGAATTACCTCGGATAGAAATTCATCAGCTGTCATTTCTGACTTAATGAACCCAGGAGTCACTATAGTTACCCCTATGTCTGCACCGAATTCAGCTCTCAACGTCTCAAAGAAGCTTGTCATTGCTGCTTTGCTTGCCTGAAACTTATCACAAGTTATAATCTCTCCACATAAAACCATGACATTAAAAAAAAAAATGAAAACTATGTCAGTGTCTTACGTTGTAGAAGCTCATCCTTGGAGTGGGGTACCATGCTGCAGTTGAAGAAATCACAACAATCTTTCCTCTGCTTTTTCTCAAGTGTGAAACTGCAAAATGTGTAGCATACACTGAACCCCAGAAGTTTACGTCCTGCCAACCAAACATCACAAGATCCAACGTAACTTTTGGAATGATAAAGGATAATGTTCGGCAGATGCAATGAACATGAATTGATTAATTTCACAAGATATGGGAGAATTAGGTAATATAGCACCATGATTGGAACCAGATCAGACAACTTCTCAGAGAACTCTTCAAAAAATTTGGCCTGATTGATCCCAGCATTGTTCACCAAATGATCCACTGTTGCATACGTTGAATCACAATAAGCTCTTATTTTCATTAGCCGAAACGAGATCATGCTACACACATAAGTTTATATGCATAGTTATGGTTACATTGGCCAAAATGGTTGATGGTCCTGTCGACGAAGCGCTGGGAATCTTGAATATCGGAAACATCAGCAGGAATGATAATAGCTTCAGGCGAACCAAGTTGAAGGGCTTTATGGAGCACTGAGCGTAGACGATCTTCTCTCCTGGCTACAAGGGCTAAACGAGCCCCTCTTCTCGCATACTCGTAAGCTAATTCCTTCTCGTTTCAAGATTACATTAGGAATCAAAAGCCATGAGGAGCTTTTTATATTAGAGAAAAGATTAGACTTTTGGGAGAGTAAAGCGTCGGATGAAAATGAACGGAAAATACAAACACAAACCTCGCCAATTCCTGAAGAGGCTCCGGTGATGAGGACAACTTTGCCGGACACAGATTCTTGAGGTTTGCATCTTTTGATGAGTGAAGACAAAAACTTGAACGCATAAAAGGGAGGGACAAGCAAAAGCAAGGCGAAGAAAGTTGATGGGATCAGTGTTATATTCAGTAAATCATGAATCAAATCCATGACTTCTTACGCCGAAAAAGCTGAGGGTGAGTGGGGCAAACTGATAATAACACCCCTACATCAATTCTGGTGTCGTCTGTTGCAGGGGTTGACCTGCTGCACCCTCCACCTCAAAAGCGTTTTTGTAGAAAACTGGCATTTGCAGGTGAACTAACGGGAAATGACGGCGTTAGTTTAAACCGTCAATTTTAATTTTCACTTGTTCAGCCATTTTATATTTAATTTAATTTTAAGTTAATTCAAAAAATTATAAAAATGATATTAAGATTAATATTAACTAAATCATCTAAATTATAAAAAAACCTTAATAGATTTTATGAAAATTTCAATGAGGACACTTAACCAAACATAATGAAAAAAAAAGATCCCTGAATTTTTTAAATTTCACTAAGGATCTGTATGTAATTTTTTTTAAATTTGTGATAGAAATGATAAAAAAAATTCATTTAAATAAACAATATAAATAAATTATTTATTTTCATACTATATGTTATTCATTTACTTACGGAATGTTATTCGTTTTCCTACTTCACTTATTTATAGTCCTACTTTCAATTAGTTTCATTTTGGGGCCATAAACAAGTGAAATAGGTAAACAAATAATATTTTATAAGTAAATGAGCAACATACAGTATAAAAACGAACAAGTCATCTTATCCTGAAATTAACACTTGAAATGAAATTAAGTAAAACTAAAGTTATAAACAAGTAAAATAGCAAAATAAATAATATTCCGTAAGTAAATGAATAGCATATAATATGAGAATAAATAAGTCATTTATATTATTCATTTAAATGAAGGCAATTTTGTCAATTCCGTCACAAGTTCAAACGAAATTCCATACGGGTTTTTCAATGAAATTTCAAAAATTCAAGATCCTCTTTTTTAATTATGTTTGGTTAAGGGTCCCTCATTGAAATTTTTCTTACATGAAATAGCATTTTAACTGAACATATTGACTAACTTACACACACAAGATCCATGAATCGATGATATATATATATATATGGTGCACACAAAAACTAAAGGGACACCGCAAGTATATAGGTCAATATGCAATATAGTAATGCATCAAGGTCGATCCCATAGAAAATTGAGTAAATTGGCAAATAGGCATTAAATTCTCAATTTCATTCAAGTCAAGTAAGTAACTTATAATGGTAAATAATTCAAATTAAAATAAAATAAAAATGTAAAGTAGACAACCAAGATTTTTTTTAAGCACTCTAAAGTCAAGAAGCGATTAAGAAAGCACCTAAGAGTTCTAATCCCTCATTTGCTCCATTGCACTCAACTTATCGATTAATTGCTCTTAATTTCAATTTTAAGAGTTGGGACACTAGAATTAATATTGAATATCTTCTGATTATCCAAAATCCTTCTTAATTCTAATCTAACAATTTCTTACCAAAATTAAATTAAGAGCATTAAGTTTAAATTCCTTCTAACCATTTAGGTCCTTTAAGTACATTCATATCCTAGAGGCACATTAACTATAGTTAATCCTAAGTACTCAATTTCAATGGTCCAAATAGAAATTTCTTTCCCAAGTTCATTCTATTCCTCTAAAATATCATTTAATGGTAGCCAATCATCAAGCAACACAAATAAAAATTGAAATTAAAATATAAAATGTCTATTAATCACAAAGTAATTGATAAATTAAGATACAACCAGAGCAAGTGAGTTCACAGGACTCTTGAAAATCAAGGTTCAACCACACATAGCTAAATATTATCTCAAAACAGCAAAACAATGGGACCAAATCAGATACATAAAAGAAAGAAGGAGAAAAGTGAAGAAAAACCTAATGAAAATGTTGATTGTGATGAGCTAGCTTGCTCTTAAGCTCTAAAATTATCCCAAGCACTCCAAACTCACCTCTAAACTTTCAGAGAACGTAAAAAATGAAGCCTCCTCTCGAAAAACCCCAGTTTCCCTTTTTTATTAGGAAAAAAAACTAATGCTATGCATGTTTGGTATGAAACCTGCTATAATGAGTTCTATTTCTAGTTCAAAATTTGCTTTAAAATACTAACCCACGCTATGACAGCTGCTATAGTGGGTGATCATAACAATTCAATTTTCTCATTAAATTCATTATATTTTCCTTCTCCACCTCTTTCAAGCTCTTGTAAAGTTTATTAAAATTTAAAATGACTCAAATTAATAAAAGAAAATGCTCTAAAATAAAATTAAAACACAATATTTACAAAATAAACCAACTAACACCAAAATAAATATTAAATACAAGATAAATAAATGAAAATAACTTGATGATTTTTTAAATGACTAATAAAACTTTTTAAAATGTATAAAAATATAGAGACTTATTAACACATCACGCAGCAAAAGAGACGTAGTTGTCCATGTGGTGGAAAACAGTTGGTTTTCCGTGTTGTGGCTGTTGGGTAAATTTATGGAAAAACTTTAGTATTGGCCCACAATGTCGTGCGGCCATCCACCACCCCCAAAATCAACAAAGGTTGATCTAAAGAATTATGGGGATCAAATCTTGATATGGAAATATTATTGTTAGACAATGTGTATATATTTTTACAAGTCCATTTTGAATCTGAAGGTATGTTTTAGTCTCATAAGCTCCAAATTTAATTCACCTAATTTTTTTTTTACTTGAAAAGAATTGCTGCTAAAATAATCCATTTTTAACTTATTTGTTGCCTTGCCATTATCAAACAATCAATTTTTTAATTATTTATTTATTTGTATAATCCTTTATTATGTCAATCAAAGCTACACAAGAGATACGAACACTGACCAACATAGTAGGTTTTGGTGAGTAGCCTATTAATAGGTTCGGTATCACAGAGTGACCTATCGCTCAAAAAATAAAAAAATAAAAAATCACACACTGCTTAGTCATTTCTCCGTGCAGACTCACCCAGCATCTTCACAAGCCTAACGTGGAATACCAGTCTAGTAAAATTATCTGCTAAATGATATAGTTGAGTTGTAATGCCCAGCAATTTCTGTAAACTATCAATTCCGAGAGTCCTGGCATGTGATGTCATTGAGTTGTTAACAGCTCTCTGTTAATGAATTTTTTGTTTATTTTCATTTAAAATCAAGTAACCTAAGAACTAAATAAATCTCCATTCTCCTTCTTCTTCACTTCCACCCCTGTCATGTCCACACTCTCTGCAACATGTCCCTCGATCTTTCCTGTTGTAATTTCTTCAATTATAAATTTATAAATACAAATATATAATATATAAAGAAGACAACGCAATAACCAACCTTGAAAAGAACTTAACACTTTTTCATCAACAATCCGTTTACAAACTTGACAAACAGGCCCAGAGACATAGACTTATCAGCAATCGCTGTCAGATTATGGTCGGTGTCAGATAAAATATATAGCAGCACATTCGCACGTTCAAACATCAGAAAATGGTAGCACACACTTCATAAAAATTCATGACTGTTTGTCTTCGCAGCAGCATCAGTTGGCATGCATCTTCACAAACCTAAAGTAGAACAAGCACTCCAATAGACCCGGAAAAAACCACTTCAACCACACTCCAATTCTAAACCATGATGGTTCAATCAAATACAAATCACCCTGACAGGCACTCTTTACAATGGCCGCTGCACACCTTTCTGCAGATTCGGTTGGCAAAGTCTCGGCTTTAATCTACCAAAGGCAATCATATAATAATATTAAATAAACCATCAATGAAGATTATTGCCTTTTACTTGCAAGTTCCTACGAAATTCATTGAGTCATTAGTAACAGTAACCATCAAGTGAACAAGGGAACTAGCATGAAAATATGAAAGAAATAAGCTATGGAAAACTTTTAAGACCTACTTTAATAGACGACTTCTACCGGCCACAGATTTGAAAATAAACTACTTATCCTAGGATGGTTGGCGTGTAATGGCGAAAAATTCTAGACAGCTTTGTGGTTTCTGTAAAATAAAAAATCATACAGATGGGTGTTGCATTAAAAAAAATGTGATAATTTGAGAAGCTTTATTCTTTCTCCTTTTTCATTTTTGGCATTACAAACTTCATGTATTTTGGTTTTATTTTCATACTAAGGCATACTTGTGACTTGTATTCGTCCGTAGCAATTTCTGACTTGATTAATCCCGGAGTCACTATGGTTATCCCAATATCAGCACCGAATTCAGCCCTCAATGTTTCGAAGAAGCTTATCATTGCTGCTTTGCTTGCCTGAAACTCAGCGCAATTATAAGTTATAATCTCTGCTCAGAAATCATGTTATTTACGCACGAAAACACTCTTACATTGTAGAAGCTCAGCCCTGGAGTGGGGTACCATGCTGCGGTTGATGAAATCACAACAATCTTTCCTCTACTTTTTCTCAAGTGTGGAACTGCAAAATGTGCAGCATACGCCGAACCCCAGAAGTTCACGTCCTATAAACCAAATATCTCAAAGTCCAACGTAAATTTAGGAATGATGATGTCCCGCAGATGCAGTAAACATGAACTGATTAATTTCACATGAAATGGCAGAATCAGGTAATGTCGTACCATGATTGGAGTCAAATCAGAAAACTTCTCGGAGAATTCTTCAAAAAATTTGACTTGAACGATCCCAGCATTGTTCACCAAGTGATCCACTGTTGCACACATTCAATAGTAAGTAGTAACGAGGTCTTGTTTTCATGACCCATAATGAAAATAAACCATCAGTGTGAATAAAGTTATAGTTACGTTGGCCAAAATGGTTGATGGTCTTGTCGACGAAATGATGGGAGTCTTGAATATTGGAAACATCAGCGGGAATGATGATAGCATCCGGCGAACCCAGAAGAAGAGCTTTATCAAGCACTGAACGTAGACGGTCTTCTCTTCTGGCTACAAGGGCCAAACGAGCCCCTCTTCTCGCATACTCGTAAGCCAATTCCTTTTGATTTAGAGTTTACGTTATGAATCAAAACTCGAGGGGCTTTTTTGCATTTGAGAAAAGATTAGACTTTTGGAGAGTGAAGCGTTGAATGAGAATGAACAGAAAATATGAATACAGACCTCGCCAATTCCTGAAGAGGCTCCGGTGATGAGGACAACTTTGCCGGACACAGATTCTTGGGGTTTGCATCTTTTGAAGAGGAAAGATAAAAACTTGAACACATAAAAAAGAGGGACAAGCAAGAGCAAGGCGAAGAAAATCGAAGAAATAAGTGTTATGTTCAGAAAATCGTGAATCAAATCCATTACTTGCTTAAGCTGAAAATTGTGATGGAAAATAATTCTATATTTATATCCCCAGATAACAGAGAATAGTGCGTTGGCGGATTTGACTGTTAGACGGGCTTGAATGTTAAGCGACCAGGTCTTATTGAGAGACAGGTAACGTTTGTGGGAAAACTATGCAAAAGAATCCATGATTAAAATATTTCAAAGAAAGTATCAGCTTGAATGTGCGTTGCAAATATATAATTAATATCAATACAGATACTTGAACGCCTCTTAAAAATTTAATTGCAAATATTAATATCTTTAATAATTTTAAGAACTTAATCCGTTCTTCTAAATATTTCAATCTCTGTTCCTTTTTTTTTTTTTTGCAAATTTTGCCAAGGTTGAAGGTTGATTTTTTGTTCTAAAATAGGGATGCCAATGCCCCAGCACAGTGGTTGGTTGCTGCAGAAAATAACTTCAAGAAAAAAAAAACGTGAAAATAATAATTTATATATAAGTAGCGGAGTCTAAGAAATAGCGTGGTAGATATGGCTGTGATACAGGGAGATGGATCCATGAGGGGTAAGTCAGCACGTGCATAGGAGTTCGCAAGTAAAGAAACGCACGCGGAAGGTGCGTGGCATAAGTGAGGATGCAAGCATATACGAACGAGTGGGGTAGTTACGAGGGGTGTGATTTGACATGAAGGAATCTTTTCTTTTCTGCCTCTGTAATTCGTCTCGAAATCATTTTGGGTAACAGGCGTGAGATTTCCATCCTTAGTTCGGTGAAACCTGCCATATGTTGGAGATATGCCAAAATTATCGGATTCAAAACATCCTTTATGTAATAATGCATAAAGGGAATGATGAAGAATCCAATCCAAAAGATGGGAGACGGGAAGAGGTTCAAAGTTTAGAGACTTATCATGTCTACTATACTGTGACGGAGAGTGTCATTAGCACATATCGTAAATATGAGTATGCATGATAGTTGATCCCAAAAAAAAAAAAAAAGCTGGTTGCAAAATTAGGAAATATTTTTATTATCTAAATTTAACTATTGTGTAAATATTTAAAAAATTAATTTCAATAACAAATGCAGCCTTAAGAGTTTGGTGAAATCTGAATCAGGATCTTGTCAATTTATTCTGCAACTTGTTCTTCCATCTTTCTCGTCAAAAATGGAATCTGTGGAATTTGGGGTGTGCACTCATTATATTAAACATCAGAAGGGGAGTTTTGAATAATATGTGCTGGAGTCTGGAGTATACTGGAAGGAGAACAATGGTGAATTTGCCCAGAACGAATCAGAACTTTGATCCGAGAAAGAGTGAAGCGAAACTTGGGACAACACTCGTAAATTCACATCCTGGTAGAAATCATACAATGTTTCAAGTAGTTCATGCCGCGAGCAGGAACAAACATCATAAAATGGCCCATCACTGCTACAGAACAAATTCACATTCTGCTTAATTGTTTCTCTTTGCAACAGTATCATTTGGCATCTTAAAGTGAGACAACCACTCCAATAGACTAGGAAAAAGCCAGTTCAACCACACTCCGATTCTGAACCAAGATGGCTCAATCAAATACAAGTCACCCCTGCAGGTGCTCTTCACAATGGCCTCCGCACACCTTTCTGCAGATTCGACTGGCCATGTCTTGGGGTCAATCTATCAAATGCAATTACGTAGTATTCAATAAACATTCATGAAAACATTTCTTTTTCAAGTCAATAAGGCAACTCCTATGAAAATCTCAAGACTTCGGATACGAAAAGAATTCTATTTGCTAACTTGTCAAATAGCAAATGTGATCAGACATATAGTTAAAGAAGAGTATGACAGGCACGCTATACCAATAACTACACATTGACAAAGAAATGAGCTAATTATGAATTATCCATGACATGTTTTCCCCCTGGAAGACCTACTTATAAAAGGTTTAGTTCGAGACGAATCTTATTTACTTATCTTAAGATTGTTAGGCATGTAATGCCGTTAAATTTTTAACAGCTATGCGGTTTCTATGAAATAAAAATTTAGGATAGATACGTGTCAATATATGTATATGAGAACTTGACAAACTTCTGTCTTTCACTTGTTCAACTTATTTTCAGTAATACAAATTTCAAGTATTTTGGTTTTATTTTTAGATTCAAAAATATACTTTTTGTATATAGTGATCAATTACCATTTCTGACTTGACAGGCCCTGGAGTGACTATGGTTATCCCAATATCAGAACCAAATTCAGCCCTCAATGACTCGAAGAAGCTTATCATGGCTGCTTTGCTTGCCTGAAACTCGTCATAATCTTAAGTCATGATCTCTCCTTAGAAAACATAACATTCAACATTGAAAATAAACTTACACTGTAGAAGCTCAGCTTGGGAAGGGAGCACCATCCTGACAATGAAGAAATCACTACAATCTTTCCTTTACTTTTTCTCAAGTGTGGGACAGCAAAATGTGTAGCATATACTGAACCCCAGAAATTTATATCCTACCAGAACAACCATCACAAAATTCAACAAAATCTTAGGAATAATAAGGTTATGCAAATGCAGTGAGCAATAGCATTAAAACTGGCCTCTAATTTTTAAGGAGCTTGAAATGAATTGAATTGCAACGTTCAGGGCTCCATGTATAATTTTATATTTTGGATTAATTAATTTCAGAAGAAATGCAAGAGTGCAGTAATAAATGTAGTACCATTATTGGAGCTAAATTAGAGAAATTGACGGAGAATTCTTCAAAGAATTTGACTTGATTAATACCGGCATTGTTCACCAAATGATCCACTGACGCAGGAGTAGACCACTAATTAATTCATTGTTTTCTTTAGGATCACAAAAAGAGTAGCCGAGTCCAATCACAAATTAGAAGAAAATGAAGAAATCTTGTATATAATCATAGTTACGTTGGCCAAAATGGTGGATAGTCTTGTCAACAAAACGCTGAGCATCTTCAATCTTGGAAACATCAGCAGGAATCATAATAGCATCAGGCGCACCCAGGCGTAGAGCTTGATCAAGAACCGCACGCAGACGAACCACTCTCCTGGCCACAAGGGCTAAACGAGCCCCTCTTCTAGCGTACTGGTAAGCCAAGGCCTTTTCACAAACACCATTCATTCATTCAGCCGGCCAACGTAATGGGTAGAGAAGAGTGCAATGTTGAAGATGAATAGAGAAGAGAATTACAGACCTCGCCAATGCCGGAAGAGGCTCCGGTGATGAGGACAACTTTGCCTGCGAGGGTCTCATGGCGCTTTGATATTTTGATGAACGGAGAGAATAGAAACCTGAACAAGTGGAAGAGAGGAACGAACAAAAGCAACGCAGAGAAAGCTGATGAAGTCAACACTATATCCAGCAAATCCGATGTGAAACCCATTCTCTTTACTCCCAAAACCTGGAACGCTTGATTGCCCAACACAAGCTAGTGTTCTTGTTTATCCTCTGACCACAACTAATATTCTATTTTTGACCTGAGCCACATCTACTCTTCATATGATCATATCATATGCAGAGCCGTTGCCGCTTTACCTACCACTGTATTTTTTGGCCAATGTACCTACTGGCTACTGCAACATCACAGGTGCCTCACTCGACCAACCCTTTATGTTTTATAATAAACTCGACAAGATCTTATGGTTTCGCCACCTCTTCTTGCTCTAAGGTGTGGATGATAATAGGATTGACTCTATATGACCTAGATTCATGCAATATGTCTCGAGCTTGGCTTCCTTTTGCATATATATATATATATATAATCTTATGGTATTAGTACTCAGTATCAAGGGATACGAGAAGGAAAGAATTCACATCAGGAAATCAAATTTCATGCAGAATCATTTGGACATTAAAAATGAATGATTAAATCTTTAAGGGGAATAGTTGGCATTGTACACCAAGATACAACTTTGTTCAAAAAGATTTGCGGAAGAACTAAAAATAGACAAGGAGTACAATTACTGTCAGGTAACATCAGGGCATATTCTTCATTCTTCTCTAAAATTTAAACAATTTTTTTATACCAGATGCAACCTCAGAGTTTGGTGAAACCTGCATGAGGGTCTTGTCGATCCATGTTGGAGGATAAGCAAAAGTTATCGGATTCGGAATTCCGATAAAGAATTAAAGACCGAGGTCCCTCATCATTATTCCTTTGAGAACGTAGGACGAATAATTAAACGACTATAAAAATGGCATCGCTTCTTGCCTTTTGGATGTTTACTTGCTGGAGAGAAATTCATAGATTTCTTACAAACAAGGTATTTTCTGAACGAGCACTTAAATTTTCAAAAATCAGAAATTCTTGATCGCGTCATATTTTATGTATTTCCTATTTTCTGCTATAGGATGAGAAGTTGAAACCCAAAAAAATTATCATTTTGGTTTCAAGTAGTTGAACTGTGAAAACAAGCATTGATTAGCAATGCTAGCTATTCTTCCACTGTGCGTTAAACTCATTCTCCGAAACTGCTGCATTGTAAAAGGCTGAGCTCAAGCTTCCTCTGCTCGTTCACTCTCGCGATGAAAACATCAGCCCTTTTGCTCAATTCATCAGAATCAGAAGCCAAACCCACTTCACCTTCTTCTCCATCCGCATTCTCCTCCTCTACTTCTCCCTCTCTCACATCTGCATATTCTGAAGCTTGTTCCTCCATTTCTCTAGCTTTCATGAACTTGGAAGTTGGAGCTTGGGGCCTTTGGATTTGTCTCTCGACTCTGCTATTGATGAACTCGTCATAGTAAACATCAGAAGTTGAAGAAGAGGATTTTGAAGAGAAGACTCTGGAGTTCACTATAAGGACAACAATGATGAGGTTACCTACTATGAATAAGAACGTTGAGTCCAACAAGGCTGAAACAAAACTTGGGACGCATACAATGAAAAACTCTCTCAACGGAGAGGCAAAGTAAGGCAGCAAAAGTGGGATACTACAGAACAGAATGCAAGTCAAAGTAATCAAGGAATAGAAATAAAAATTATACAGGAATTGATGCCTCCTGTATCTCTTCATGGCTTGAATCTTCTTGATCTGGGTTGGATCCATTGAGAGTCTTGAGTTGGAGAAAATAGGGGAGAGTTAATCAGACCGAACTTGGAGCATGAGAGAATAAAAAGTGAATTATAGATTCGAGAAAGAGTTTTTGATTGGTCAAAATATTCACATGCTTCTTTATCATTATCATCATTGTATATTTTTTAAAAGCATGGCTGACTTTCCATAAAGCCAAGGGACATGGTGGCGTGGCGTTTTGTAGGTTCTTTTTCCCTTTTAAATTTTAATCATTTACCCTCCATCTCTGCAAACTATTCAGCCCTGTTTTGCTTTCACCCTATTGTGCAGGATGAATATGCTAGAACGATCAGCCAGAATACTTCAAATTGATTCTCTGATTGTGATCCCACACCAATGTACGTTGATTCTATGTGAAACAGTATCATCCCCATAATCTGTTCAGAGCAAACATGGCCATAAGGAAAGAAGAATAATCGCAATTTTCTCCTTTTATGGCGGTATTGGAAGAGAAGTGGGACGGGATTTCATTAAAGGAACCCTCATGCTTTTTCTTTTGGATATCTATCTTGTAGCAGAAGGCTCGTTGTCGAGTGGGGCAGAGCCGAATGTAGTCATTGGAACATGTATTCCATGTCAGAGAAGGAATATGATTGCGTTTTGTGTTCGTGGAAATTGAAGTAGCTGATCAAGCCTTGGCTTTAAAAGTGACTCGAAGCAAACTGGTAAGGGAAGTATGTGATTAGAAACTTGAGTTTAGATCTAACAAGAAGACAATTCGTGCAGGTTTCTCTTCATCTTCCGTAAAGATAACTTTCAACAGTTACTAGGCTTTCCAGGCTATCATGTCAATACAATTTTTTTAATTTTTGGTTAAGGAAAGAAAGCTTTGTGCTTAAATGAAATCAGTGGCAGATGCATTAAAATATAAATTGAGCAATGTGATTAATATTAGTTCAAACCCAAGGACGAAGAAAACAACCTAATATGAATATCAGCTGCAAGTGTGGGATTAATTACTCTGCTAGCTCAGTCATGTGATTACTTTATCAGTCTCAGGCTCTTTCAGATATGTGATGGGGCGATTTTATTTTTTAGTGTTCTGCAAAAGTTGCCAAAAAGAAATTTGTTTGGTCGGTATCCGGGCCCTCCCTTCCTAGAAAGGAAAACCAAAGACCATGGACAAAGAAACTATGGGACAGGACAACATTAAAGTTTTGGAGATCAATCATGTTCAAAATTCTGCAGTTTGAAAACAGAAGATTACAACATAAGGGGAAAATTGTGAGGTTTCCTCATTCCTAAACTTTAAAATCTCGTTGCCTTTCTCACGTATTTGAAACTTAATCCATAGGATATTATGACATAGTTAATATAGAAGATTTTAAATTCATGGATTAAACATGTTTTTACATCTTTGTTCAAAATTGTTAGAAATAGGTTTGAGTGCAGAAGAAATTACAATATCTTTAGTAAGCTCTGCTATATTTTATTATCCACGTAGCATTTATGAGATCACCCTAAATAAAATGGGTTAAATATGTAGAATAGAGCTTGGTTGCTTCTTTAAAGTTTGAGACCATGAACATGTTTAGTTCCTCCATAATAAGATGACACGTCATCAGAGAATAACCATCATTCACATCTGCAGTGCAACTATGTAAAACTTGAATTAAATTAATCTACCGGTCCGCTGATGGTGCCAGATTTATTAAATTTACAACTCATAACTAACCTACAGAGATGCCATTTCTATGATCGGTATGAGTTTCCTGAAATTGTTTACGTGTTACTTAAATAAACAGAAATGAATCGATTTCTTATCACGTCTCACATTACTACCTCGTATCGTTCTAGGTCTGTCAATTATTGTTCCCTTTCATCTTGCCTATCTATTTTCCTTTTGTTTCTTTCTTCTTCTTCTTTCTTCTTTCCCACTCAACATTTCACATCACCCGAGTATGACAAGAGAAAAGGTTTAAGAAAAAAGCTAATTATAGCAGCAGGGATCATAATAATTCTCAACTTCAAAAGCATTGAGAAAGAGAGGAGAGAAAGCATAAAAAGGCAACAAGTGGGCTAATATAATTGATAGCTAGAATTGGAGATTGGCAGAATTTATATTCATATATTTGATGGTTAGTTTGTTTTCCACTTTTCTCGCAAGTGACAATTCCATTCGCAGATACCAATATGGACTAACATAAAAAGCAACAAGTGTTGTGTTAAAATGAAGTCGCAATAAACAGTGTGAAATCAGCTGCGTTTTATGCTGCCAAACTTGCAACCTTTCACGCCTTGGGAGTAGGATCTGTGGGGGAAGACAAGAAACCGAAAGTACACTAACCCATTCTTATATTTTCTTTTGCCGTATATCGAAGATATATTGCCTGAACGACGTGGCATGTAACAATATAATATCCAATCAGCAAATTAAATTGAGTACAGAAAACATCAGGTAATTAATATAAGGTTGGATTATTGGAAACGTCTGAACAGAGTCCATCTTCCCGGGAGGTATATGGACGTACATGAGCTATGAAACAAGCAAATGATAGAATTCATGGGCGTGTTGGAAATTACATTGCATTACATGATACAAGAAGGTTAACAAAGTCAACAAGAAGTCATATTTAACAGTATAATAAAAGTTAAAACCAAGCAAAGGCGAAGCCGAAGGAGCGAAGTGACTGAGGATCGCTATGCATGCATGCATGGCTCCTTCAATAGGCCTCCTGATCTCCCTGTCTCCATAACAAGATTACATCAATGTGAGTAGCTATTGAATCACAAATGGTGTGCTAACACTTTTCAGATTTGGAAAACTTATAAATAAATGAGCTCACTTTCTTGGGGGTGATAAACTTCACGAACTTCTAGGCCTTGCCACCATTAGGTGACCTACTGTGGTGATGCGCTCTCTCAGTCACATACTTCCTGATATGTTTTCTCACAAACCTTTCATACAAGAATGCAGCTCCTTTGAACTGTGGCAGAACCAGCCATGCCACCAACAGCAGCTTCACATCGTACCAAAATGGCATCCTACATATTTTCGTACATGATTCTCACAAATCAAAATATTCCAAAACCTCTGAATTTATACAGCAAGAGTTATGAAATAAAGGAGAAGCCACCATTCTAGAACTGGTTGCAGAACCATTTCAGCAAGGGTGAGGAAGGAGTATAGGATCCAATAAGCAAGCCATTGCTCGTCATCCAGCTTCGACGCGCTCTCTATGGCCATCACCGATGCATACCTAAGCATAAATAAATAGCCCAACACCCAAATAATGCATGAATTTATTTACGTGGTGCGAGGAGCTAATTAAGGCGAAGTTATAGGACCGGCGGACACTTACAAGGGGTACAATAACGTGAGCACAGGCCTGCAAATTCAACACGGAGACTCATTTCGGAATTTTCGAGGACAAACTACAAAACAACAAAACGAAGACGCAGAGGGGAAAGGATAGATACCCGGAAAGAGAATGAAGCTGGGTGATGAGGGTCCAGAACTTTCCCATCTTGATAGACACCGAGCAGGAAGAAGCTAACAAAGAGAAAAACGACAAATCAAAGAGTAAAGTGAAAGTGATGATCAGTGAGGATTGTGCGAGTTTGAAAAAACGAAGGACGAGTAAGAAAGAAACCCGAGTGAGGGCCCCAAGGCTGGTGATGATTTATATCGAAGGATGAGGAGGAGGCCACGTGGGAGCAGAAGAGCAGGTATCGGATTCTGCCCTTAACGTGTCCTTTCATCCTCACCGTCTCATTCCAAAATTTTCCTCGGGGTTCCTTGCCCGAAGTGCAAGCCACGTGTTCACGCTTCCCGACCAATCTAGGTGGGTGACACGTGTCGACACATGGTCTCTTCTATTGTCGAGCTGGGCCCGTTCATGTACAGGCCCATATGCTTATGCAAAGTTCGGCAGAGGGAGAATAGCAATTAGGTCCGTATAAAAAAAGTAATTGTTATAAAGTTCATTAATAATTAATAATTGAATTAAATTATATTGATAATTTTAATTTAATTATTAATTAATTTTATAATAATTAATTTTTTATATTAAAATTTAATGTAATTCTTCTTTTGAAAAAAATTAAGGAGTAGCAAGTAAAAGTTAATTCAATTAACAAGAATTGTACCACAAATTTAAAAGTATTATTACATATTTTTATAGTATATTTATTAAAATAAAAATTATAAAATAATTTTAATAAATTTTTTATTTCTGATCTATTTTAGATTTAATCTAGTATTAATATGGATTATATACAGCATAACTTAAATTTAAATTGTACAAAGTATATTTGGATAGTCAATATATAACAATTATAAAATTTTAATATTAAATTAAGCTACTCAAATTAAATCTAAATCATATTAAAAATAAAAATTTATTAAATTATTTTATAATTTTTATAAATTATTAATTTAATAAATATAAAATAAAATAATACTTTAAATTTAATCTAGATGGTTTAGATCTTATCACACTAATAAACACCATCAGTGTGATGGGCACCAAAGTCAGGTTCAGGAATTTGAGTGATAAGTTTATAATCTATAAAGTCATAATATCAAATCTCGTTATTGATGTGAACACCTTCTTGATGAATTATTTATAAATATTTTTGTAAAGAAGTGTCTTGATCCTAGAGGTGGAGCCAAAAAAATTCATTAGGAAGCCAAAATGATAAAGCAAATATGATAAATGAAAGAAAATTAAATTTATATACATTATTAATATAATAAAATATTTCAACTGATATATTTATATTCAATTTTACACATATATATATAACAAAAATAAATATATACTTTTATTTTTGAAGTTTTGCTTATTAATTTTCATGGCACAAGAATAATTAATTATTATATCTACAAAAAATTTTTAACAATTTCTTTTTCAATATGAATCATCATTAAATTGGCAAAGATGTTACTTTTTCTATAAACATTGAATAACTTAATTGCATCATAAAAATATAAAGTTCTGTTCCAGCTAAAAAAAATTATTTTTTACTTACTGAATTTATTATTTAATTGTTTCAATTAATAATTTTAATAAATAAATATATCAATATCGCAATGATACTCAATTGTTACAAATTTTTTATGTGGATAAAATCTAAGTATATCATAGTAAAAAAAATATTCAAATAAAATATAATAAATTTTAATAACTTGGTTATTACAGAAAAATATTTTTTTTTAAGAACATATCTCAACAATAACCTCTTAATTAACTTTTAGATAAGTAATTTTATGGTATATATTAAGCACATGGAATTCAATATATCTTAAAATTTTTGTTACAGTACTTGACAAAATTTGTTAGTAATAATTATCATAATTTCTTTCATTAAATATAAAATAAAAGCAAAATCAAATAACATGAATGCTTTAAGAGTAACTGTAACATTATTTTGTTAAAAATAAGTAGATATTATGATAATTATATTTTTAAACTATTGAAATAGTTGAATTATATATACATAAAAGACTACTATGAAAATGAAATGAGAATTCTATCTAATAATATCTCAAGGCTTTTATAATATATTAACTCAAGAGAGTCGAAAATATATAACCCTTAAATTTTATTAGGAAAAAAATTAAAAGTTAGGAACCTTATTGGTCTTCCTTGCCTCCACCCCTTCTTGGTCCGATAAATTTCCCGGCATTCAACCCATCTAAATTGTATACTTAAAAAACTAAGAGGTGAAAATCCGATACAGCAACATTTTCTGTTTTTTAATTCCATGAGTAATGCAGTTCTGATACAGATAACCTGAACAAAACTTTACCCACTTTAACTCCCTTACTTTTCTTCCACTTCCGAGCCACCTTCTAAATTTTTAGAGTTATGGGTTGTTCCATTTTCGTAGCATGAGCACGCTACGCCATGATTGATTGATTAGTGTTACATTAATGCACATAAATTAAGAACTTACTTGCGACAGAGCCCATGCAAATCAACCCACCCAAATAATCCTCTTTTATTTTTGCGTGCAAGCTGACGATTATGGAGGCTTCTCCTCACTTGCCCCCACCCCCCCCCCCCCCAACGATGCCCTCTCCTCAAATATTAAATTTATTTCACCAATACATATTACGAACACAAAGCTTCCTTTTCCTCCTTTAGTCTCTGACCTGATTTATTTCTCAACCTAATTTCTCAACGAGTAGTTACACCTATATTTTATTAGTCTCTGAAAAAGACAATAATAATTTGCTCCACCTCACAAGATACACATACATGAGCTGCGTTTTATATGGACATCATTTTCATTTTCCCCTTGTAGTTGAGTTGTTGATCTTCTCGTTTTCTAATTTTCATTAATCACTACTTAGCGAGCAACCATGGCAGCAGCCACGGCCTTAACTTTTCCTGGAAAACTGATAGGCAGGAAATTAGAGAAGCAGCAAAATGGAAATATCTTGCAGCTGCGTTACTTTTCTTCAGCAAAAACACTCTCATTAAGGGATCAACGAAGATTGTCATCGATAACCCCGAGTGCTCGGAGTGATGTTGGGATATTAGGCACCGTCAACGGGAAAAAGTTGAACTGGAAACACGTGGCGAAGGAGGCTGTTACAGCGGGAAAGTTGGCGACTGAAGACGCAGCAGACGCAGCTCTCGTTACCAGCCTGCATGGAAGATTTGTGGAGAGCAAGTTCGTGTACAGGCAGATTTTCGTCATCAGGTCGTATGAAATTGGTCCTGACAAGACTGCCACCATGGAGACACTCATGAATTTTCTTCAGGTTAGCTGCAACAACTCTCACCTAATCATATATATACCCGAATCTACTTTTATCAAATAAACGCAACACAAACACGACCAAATTTGAAATATCTTGAGCTTTTATTTATGAGCTAGTGATTAAATGCTTCAGGAGACAGCTTTGAATCATGTCACGAGCTCTGGGATTGGAGGAAACGGATTCGGAGCCACCCGGGAGATGAGCATCCGGAAACTCATATGGGTCGTCACCCGTATTCAAGTGCAAGTACAGAGATATAGCAGCTGGTAATTAATTACGATGCTATTTTAAGTAACTTCACAATGAAGCGGGCACGTGTGTGTCTTAAGTTTGATGTTTTAAAAAGTGATTGATGAATGTGGCAGGGGAGATGTGATCGAGGTTGATACATGGGTTGATGCGGCCGGGAAGAATGGGATGCGCAGAGATTGGGTAATCAGAGATCACCACAGCAAAGAGATCATAACGAAGGCAACAAGGTCAAATATTTCAATTCATAGACAAGAACCAGAAATTACGTACTGCATGGGTACTTATATATAATCATTAACGGTCAAAAAATTCCTTGGTGGTGTAGCACATGGGTGATCATGAACAGAGAGACGAGAAAATTGTGTAAGATACCTGAAGAAGTGAGGCAAGAGGTTGTTCCGTTCTACCTCAACCGAAGTTCCATTTCCACGGAACAAACTGACTCTGAAAAGATCGACAAGCTCACCGATGATACAGCTGAGAGAATTCGATCCGGGTTAGCTGTAAGTTAATTAAATTAATTAAATTGCTTATGAAATATGATTTCCTTGTCCAAATTCAAATTGTTGTACTTATATGAGTGTTATTAATTACCTCAACTTAATTAGCCGAGGTGGAACGACATGGACGCCAACCAGCATGTGAACAATGTGAAATACATCGGATGGATTTTAGAGGTACCGGCCGAATTATAAGATAATGATTTTGAAAAACAAAAAGCGGGACATGCTAAACTAATGATTTGTCACATGTTGTACTGGTAGAGTGTGCCGACCAAAGTGTTGGGAGATTATAATATGACGAGCATGACTTTGGAGTACAGACGAGAGTGCAGGCAATCGAATCTGTTGGAATCGTTGACGAGTCCGACGGCCAGGGTGATCGGTGACTCCAATAATAACTCCATCAACAGAAAACCAGACCTTCAATACACCCACCTGCTTCGTCTTCAAGGTGATAAAAAAGAGGTGGTCCGAGCCAGAACTGAATGGAATTCGAAGAACTGGCACTGAATGAGTAATTCCATTCCCGGTATAAGCCTTTTTAATCTCTTGTCATTTCTACTGCACTTGCTGTTCTTCTCTGTCTTAATTTTGTGTTGAAAATTTAGTCCCTGTACCGTACGTTAAAAAGAGGTGATGATGAGTGCTATCTACCAATAAACTGATACTTTTGTTAGTGTTATTTGTAAATAATATCATATTGACTTAAGAATAACTATAAATGAAGAAATAATAGACTTTCTTTAGCAGCATGAATTGGAAATGGCGTGTAGTCAGCTTCACGACCATGATGATTTTGAAGCAGGGAAAAGGAAACGAGGAGGTTGAAGTTGATCAACTAAAATTAGTAAATTACTGATGTTTTGAACCAACATCACGTTGAGTAAATGGATCGCATTATGCTCCTCCTGACTTCAACCCATACCAAACTTAATCTGTAGTGCCAATTTTATGAAAAATTCTAGCAAGATCAGAGGGGGACAGGTTATAAAGTGAACCGTACAAGGAAACATTATCGTGCATGAAAACACCCAAGCTTTTGCTAAGTCATGATCTGCATGTTTTTAGTTATAAAACCCTCGTTGGCTAGCAACATATTGAACCCCATCCAGAGTGGCCCAATTACAATTTAAAACCCACAATTAAGTAAGCTAGAAAGCATCGCTGTTTCATTCTCTAATAAGACGTCCCATGAGCTTTTAGGCCTAACCCAATATTAAAACCATATCCACATACAAGGGGCAACCCAAAAAAAAAAAAAAAAACCTCGCATGTGGAGGAGTAAGTGGATGATCCAATGTTGTATTCTTTGAATTCTTTTTAAAAAAAATTAATCATTTAATTTATATAATTTTAATTCAATTATAACTCAATCTTTAAATTTTAACTCATTATAATTTAATTTTGATAATTTTAACTCGATTGTAACTTGACCTTTAAACTTTACCTCTTGCAATTAAATTCTTATAGTTTTCAACCACTTAAATATTGATTTTTATATTTTAAAAATAAAATTATAAATATTAAATATATCTTAAACTTTTGATATTTATAACATTTAAAATTGATTAGCCAAAAAAAAATTAAAGATTAAAATATTAAAATTATATTATTTTGAAATTTAATATTTATAATATTAGTAATAAAAATATTTATAATATTATTAAAATTTATTACTAATATTTTAAATTATTAAACCCTTTTAGTTCAAAATATTTTTACTTTTTATAATTTTATTTTTTAAAATAAGGACTAATATTTAAGTAGCTGAAATTATAGGGACTCAATTGCAAAATATAAAGTTTAGATTGAGTTATAACTAGATTAAAAATAAAAGATTATGTTACAAGTGAGTCAAAATTAAAGGGACTAAATAATTAATTTTTTTCTTTCTTTTATAATCATATACTCCATCCATCCCAAATTATTAAGTACTTTTGAAAAAGTTTCTCTACCCTAAAATATAAAATATTTTAGATATATTAAGGTTTCATTAAATATATCAATTTTAATATTACTCTTTTTTTTATAATTAATTTCCGTCAGTTTTTTTAATAAATTAAATTATGATTATTTTAAAAATTTTATTTTTATTTTAAAAAGATAATATTATTAAGTATATTTAATAAAATTTATTAATATGTAAGATTTTATTTAAAAATATTTTATAATTTAGATAAAGGAAATAATATAAAAAGGTAAATATAAATAAAGGAATGGACGAGGTGAAGAGGCATGGGAGTAAAAGGAAGAAATTTGTTATTGGGGAGTCATTTGAACGGGGATTGCTTTCCGTCCTTGTCGTTGAAAAGGGCCAAACTAGTAAACAGGCAGTGGTGGTAAGCAGAAACATTGAAGAATGAAGAATCCGGTGGGATCTGGTCAAAGCGGGTAATCAATTTCCGCTGCTACTCATTGTATGTTAATTAATGATTCTATTATTGCAGGAAATTTAATTAATGTGAATAATATCGTGAAATAGGGGTCCCTTCGTGCCTTGATTAGACACGCCACGCTAAAATGATTGGAATTGCAATGCCTCTCCCCCGTCATTTTGATTTAAGCACATGCGCTTTAAATTAAAGAGTCCTGCAAAATTAAATTGATGATAATAACATTTTTGACCAAAAAAAAATTTAAAGAACGTGTTGCCAGTATCAGTTTAAAATAGTTACGGAAGAAACTCAATTACAATCAAGATCACGTGTGAAATTTAAATATTTTACTTACAAAAATTTACAATTATTTAGATCAATAATTTTAAATTTTTTTGAAGAAATTATTAAGTGTGATTGGGTTTTATGGTGTGTTCCATGAATCACACATATCGTGGCCCTTATGTAGTAGCGTCATTGGAGAGGGGTCACAAACACTAGTGAAAATTTGGTTATCTAAGGCACCCTTTTTAAATCGGTTTCTTCTACATCAGTTTAGATAGAAACGATGACAGTGTCATAATACCTAGCTTCGCATAAGGACTTTCTAAACTGGTTGAAAGAGAAATCAATCGTAAATAATTTCTAAACCAGTTAGGTATTTAAGTGGTTTATCAAGTGTTTCTAAAAAATAAAAAATTTATTTTAAATTGTTGTCTTAATCAAGTTTATCTGTAATTGGTTCGAAAATTTTTAATATTTTTGAAAAATAATTTTCTTATTCATATTTTTAGACTGATTATTTTAAATAACCAGTCTAAAAAGTGTTATTTTTTTAAAAAAATATGTTCTTTATTACTTTCTAAACCAATTATTGTAAAAAAAAAACCGGTTTAGAAAGATCTTCAAAACCCATTCTGTTATTTCCCCCCCACTTTTCTTGCTCTTTGTTGAAAATTTCTCTTTGCCTAGTTCGCTTAGGAGCTTCTCCTCCCTAATCCCAATGATTCTCCTTCTCTAAATAGATCATCCTCGCTTGTGTTCACCTTCTTTGAGATTGGGTTAGTGTTCGCTTCACCTTCCGTCAATGGGTTGGAGTTTGCTTGTTTGTTCATCAAGTTTGGTTTCATCTTCTAAGTTCGCTTGGTTCTTCATGAGTTCTGGGTTCCCATGGTTTGTTCACTACCTAGAGCTTGTGTTCTTGACTCTAGGTTTCCTTGAGTTTATGTTCAGATATTTGGTTTTAATCACTTTCATTTAGTTCCCGGAGGCTCATGTTTGATTTTTGTGTTTGCTTTAATTTTTAAAGTTTTGTTGTAATTCTTGTGCTTAATTGCTACAATTTTTGGGTAGAAAGTTTAAGCTTCCATTTTCTGCTTGTTGCAATTTTTGGAGTCTCTCCTTCTTCTTCACGTGAATGTGCTACTTCAAGCTTCATTGTTTTGCTTTAAAGTATTTTTTATTTTTTTATAATTTTTCATCATCTAATTTGCTGGTGCTACTAGGATTGTTGATGGCTAAATATAAATTTTATTTTAACTTGCTATTGATCATAGTTTAAATTGAATTTTTTTTTCTAGTATCATAGTTTAACACTATTGGTGCTTGAATTATTGCCAAAATTATGTGTAATCTCGATTATTACTGAAGAAATATTGGGATATTGTTACAAGATGAGATTGGAATTCTAGACAGGGACTTTTTAATTTAATTTTTGTGTGACTTGCCCCTATAAAATTGTGGAAAAGTCTAATTCTTAAGCAAAACTTTGCTGAAATTTCTTATAAACTTATGCATGTAAGTTTTTTTTTGAATTGTTGACATGTTTTGGGATTATTGTTTGTCGAAATGTAATGTTTTCAATTATAAAATTATTAAAAAGTTTAAATTTTAAGGGAGATTCTGTCAGCATTTTAAAAAAAAACTTATCATTTGGCCCCTTCTTTTATTTGGAGAGGGCCAAAGAATATTGCGTAGTGTTCTTCAAAGAAATAAAAATATGTTAACTTAAACTGAAAATTTGAAAAAGAGCCCTAATAATCTCTCAACTCTGTTCCCTTTTAGGAACTTAACCATGGATTGAAGTTGGATGAATGCTAAACGATATACCAAAGAGTATGATAATGGGTGAAGGGTTTTTCAACTTTGCTAAAAAAAAATGTCGAAGATAACAATGGAAGTTTTATTATCCTTATGTGGATTGCTTGAATGAAAAGCGACTGAATGCAATAGAAATGCAGACACATTTTGATTTGCGAGGGATTTTACAAGAGTTATATAATATGGATAAGACATGGTGAAGAAGTGGAAAGAGGCTGAGTACTTTGCAACTGTGGATGTTGATGGTAATGGTGATGATGACATGAAAGATTGATTAGAGGACATGATTTATGATATAGAGAAGAGGCTTTTAAACAGTCACACACATATAAGAATATGAGCAGTAATGTGAAGAGGCCTTTATATCTAGGGTATAAAAAAGACCAACTATTGTCCGGTATTATTAAAATTGATGGTCTTGGAAGTAACATATGGATGGAGCAAGAGTTTTATAGAATTACTTGAATTAATTAAGGACTTGCTTCTGAATAAAATGTGTCGTATGATTGATATTATGATGAGCACAAATACTATGTCCACTAGGCATGGAAATAAAAAAATATATGTGCATGCTTTAATGATTGCATATTCTATGAAATAGAGTTTAAAGATGAGGAAGTGTCTAGTATGAAGCAAACACCAAGTACAAGAAAAAAAAAGCTCCTGCAAAAGTGTTATGGTGTCTTTTGTATCAAGAGCAAAGCGCTTTTTTACTAATGAAAGGGATGTAAGAAATTTAAGATGGCATTCCAATGAGAGGATTAATTATGAGAAGTTTCGGCAGTCAATCAATTCCACAATGGAAGAAAATTGATTGATTATTTCCTGAGTTCGGCAATGACCCAAGGAATCTTAGGCTAAGACTTAGTATGGACGACATGAATCCTTACAATTATTTTAGTAGCATTTATAGTTCATGGCCTATTCTTCTAGTAATTTGCAACTTATCTCCTCTATCATGTCTGAAATGCAATTACATCATGTTTTCTATATAAATCTCAGGACTAAAACAATTAGGGAATGACATAGATATTTATCTAAAATCCTTGATTGAAAACTTAAGAGTCATGGGAGATAAGTATGAATGTATTTGATGTTAATCAGAAAGAAGTCTTTAAAATGCGTGACATGATCTTTTGCACTATAATTAACTTATCTGCATATAAAAACTTATATGAGTGTAGTATTAAAGGGGCATAAA